ATATATATATATATATATATATATATGCAAAACAAATCACAGTACAAGGGTGTTTACAGAAAAGAAAACACGTTCCATGAATTTGTTTTGCGGGTGCGATGCTGTCCAATCCAGGTTGTTGGTTCTTCGTCTTCTCACTATGGTGGGAAAACACCTCCGCCACGAGAAGGCAGTGAGTAAGGCCTCCTCAGAGCAGAGACTATTTGACAAGCATAGTCGTATAGGAGAATTTTGCAAGGTGCAGGAGAGGGGTAAGCAGCCACATCGTGAGACATCCACCGTCGACCATAATAAGGCTCTTGGACGTCAATGAGTGTGGCCCGCGGTTTAAGTAATGGAAACACAATATTCGTTCCAATCCAATTAGTTTGGAAAATAAATAATAAACCGGTAAATTGTAATTCATTTAGTGAATCCAAAACAGAAACACCACATTTTCCTTACTCTTTCTGAATCTGGACTTGCGTGCAGTTGTTTAGCCAACTGTCAACAACAAGTAAAACAACCTAGAATAGCTGATTCTGAAAAATAACGACGAGGCGGTGAATAGCAACGATTTCACAATAGAACGTTCCCCGTATATGGGACTTCAAACTGAGTTTCATACTTGATAACTGCTCCTCAGAACTGATTGGTAAATCGCAGACAAACGAGTTAACAACACGAGTCCAATGACTACTACGATTTTATTTCTGTTACAGTATCACACTGCGTACGTACCATACCGATTTCGGTAACCGGTGCTTCCTAGGAACAAACGGAGTGGGCGAAAGTAGGCCTCAGGTAGAAAATTCACACGAATAGTCAGTGTTCAAAATCACAAAGTGGGATTAGATATCTGGATAGAAAAAATACCTTCAGAAACGTGATATCAAATCTGATATACCTGATCATATCAAACACCTGAATTTCTCCCGAAAATAGTTTCACAAGCAACCTATAACCGCTCTCTTAAATCTCTTCTCCCCGTTTGCCTATCTGCATGCTCGCCCGCCTATTTTGACACCAATCACATGTCGGCGCATTTGCCCGCGCATCAGAGTGGTCATTTGTACAGCGGTTATCTGGCCATCGTCACAGATGCGGACGACTATCACTCGCCGATGCGGAATTTGCTATTCCATTTCACATGTAAAACGAACAACGAGATCCCACAACAAGTACCTGGACAAGTGTTTGAACGGTAAGTCAATATATATTTGATTGAAATCAACCGCACCAGCAGGTGTGCGATTTGGATTGTGGTTTTTTTTGTCCAACTGGACATCAATGGAACACCATATAGGGGTGGGGTTGGGTGGAGTTCAACGCGTTGATTGTTCCGGTCAGGTCGCGCAACCTTTCTGTCCCACAATCATTTCGATGGACCGCTTTGACATCTGATTTCACCTGGCATTGAAACTTCCGATAGATCACCGGTTCACGTGTGAAACCGCGTGTGCACAGGGGAACGCACGACGAATGACGTTCGTGACTACTGCCGGATCAAATTTTGTCGATAGTTAAATAAACTGAGGTGCTTTTTAAATATTCCCAAAAACTTCACAGAGCACCTGTTGGCTCTGCTGAGCGGCAACCAAGCGGTATTAGGTAGTTGTTTGTCAAAGAATTGGAGCAAATATAGNCAAATATAGAAAAGTTTGCGGTGGGGGCAGGGAACAACTGCAAGTAGATTTCGTGTGTTGTGAACACATTCCACTCACTTGCTTGCAAATATAGATATGTGTTACTTCTAAGCGGTGGTTTTCAGTAGATCTTTGTTTGCCACGAATCAAAGTTCTCCACAATAGAGATTTTAAAGGTTTGTCTATATATGCAACATCTTCAGCCCATCCGGTCAATCATACAGTCCAGAAGTATCAGATTCGAGTTATTGAGATCGAATCCAATGAGATTCAGTTCGTGTTTTACTGAGCGATCAGAAGTGAATAGTCATAACCTTTGAGGTGCGAAATACTTTTATTTGACTTGATTCAGTGAAAGGCCTTGTTACTTTCGTTCGATTGTCCACATCAACAATTTAGTGAGCATTTAGAGTCCAGCATAAGAAAGCCGACCTGGACTGCGTTTCGTATTTGATTCATACGTATTTTAAAAATTCACACGTCCTCAATGCAGTCAGGTTAGGGAGAGATTACAGAAGTTGGCGAAAAAAGGGACGTTATAAGCATGCCATTGCCTCATACGACGAAGTACACGGTGATGCATTCCAACACTTACTTTTATACTTTTGAGACAAGCAAATGTCTCTTTTCCCTATGAAAAACAGTAAAACAGCTGAATGACTTTCCCTGTGCAGTGATACTAAATTTGGAGGCAAGGAATGCTCACCGAGTGACAGGACGGAAAGAAATTGGTGTAAGCCAAACGACCTGCGCAGATGATTGATAACTTGCGCATTGATAATCAATAGTGAATGTAGTGACGTTTCGAATGCTACGAGGAGAAAGTTAGGGCTCAATGTAGCTGGAAATCAGCGTTACCTTCACCCCGAGCCTATTTAGCTATGTATTTCCCAGCCCGTTTTGAGAGATTCAGCATCTGGGGTTGGAATACACGAGAAAGTCCCAGCACTTTGAGGTAATACAGCGGGAATTATGATGGCTTTTCCTCGATATCTTTTTAAAGACAATGGTATACGGATTGTTAAAAAAACTGTGAGTGTTGTTTTATTAGGTACAGAGTATCACGCAGTTCCCCTCCTGGTTGAAGGAATCGATGGACGGTAGTNCTCATCTTTTCCAAGGATTACCTGTGTTTTTGGCCAAGTCCCTACAGCGTCAAAGTTGTCTGCATCGATTTCTTTTCATAGAATGAAAAATATAGTTGAACTTCAAACCAGAAATTAGAATGCTGTTTTTTTTCTCAATCATAGATGCATCGATCAAATGCTCACCCTATTGTAATGCAAGAGTACTGTGATGCTTTCCCTTAACTAACGAATATCTTGTTTTTAATCATCCACCCTGCCTTCAGTCCCGTGGATACAACTGTCTTATGGAACTGTCTGCTGTCTGATGGGGCTATTTAGAAGGAGCTATCGATCCAGGTTTTAGGCCCATGACAGGCTTTCACTGCCCTCAAACCACAATGCACACCAACTTTGTCATGGAAGTCTGCTCAACAAAATGCGTTTTTTGATCCAGCAAACAATGATCTTGAACTCCTGTCAGGTAAAACAATTAGAACATGGTGATGCCATCCCCTGGATAGCTAACAATGCAGAGGCAGTCCAACATGCTCTTAACTGCCATGTCATCGATATATCATTAGGGTATATTCACTTTGCTCCATTCAGGTATTAAGTGCTCAAAAATGAGGCTGGTGGGAGTCTGTATCTCCACTTCGCTTCTCTAGTGATCAGTTAGACATCGTCGAGAACTTGATAAAACCTGAAAGTGTTATGGAAGAAGAGATTACATCACGAATGTCAAGAGCCAGAAATGTTTTCATTCACCTGTGACATCTGTAACGACGCCATGCTATCTGACACTTCCTCAAGGGACGATTGTTTTCTTCAAAGGTTACGAGACCCGGATTCTCCCTGCTAAGGATGTTCATCGACTTACTATGCTAAAACACCAATGTCTTCGCAGCATTGTTGGTACCCTAAAAATATAGTGTGAGCAATGAATTGGTTCATAACCGTGTGTTGGGTGTCGAGGGTTATTTTCTGAAAGAGGAAGTCTTTATATTTCATCAGTCGGCCGTATCATGTATTTTTGTTCCTGTAGTGTATCTCTGTTTGCACGCGCTGGACAAGACCGGAAAAAGTGCCGCGATGGTAAAACCATGACATGGCATTGAATATTTAAGATCTCAAATTCCGCACTGCCTCCGCTTGGCGCTTTCATCGCTTCCGGTTTGTGCCCGGGAGAGGAGAATGGTCACTGGTTAGAGACAATGAGAGACATCAATCAGAGCACAAATCACTGACACCCTTACTGTATTATGTGTTTGTTGAAATCCGTGCCTCATAGATCAGAAACGAAGACAAACAGACGAAACAATCATGAAAAAGTGCAGTGTAAAGCAGTCACTGTGATTCATTGCACTATATTTCTTCTCATTTTCTCTCAAAGAAACGACTCTTTCCCTCAGAGTTTTATTCTTATCGTATTCTCATCAGGCTTTTTCTACATCTCATTTTAAGTGGATAGACAGATAGATAGACAGATAGATAGATAGATAGATAGATAGATAGATAGATGGAAAGATACCAAAGAATTCTGTGGATTTTTAGTAACCTTTATGCAAAGCACAATGTAGAATAATAATATTATTTTGAAAACACGATAAACCTCGCCCAAAATTATTGCCTTATATGCCGCTTCCCACATTGATTCAACATCGATCTGCTGTAGACTGAGTGTACGAAACGCTCGAGGATCGGCACAAAGCAATTAGTTAGCATACAGAAACAGTGAGCCGTTCGAAAAAAATTAGGAACACTTTGGTTCTGCTGCGAGCGATCTTGGCAGTTGAGTGGTTCAACCACTTAAGGAGCTGAAGAGGAAAATGTTTACTCTCTTTCAGTGTCTTGGAACAATTCTCGGAGCATTCGTTGATGAATTGAGATACATGCATACACGCGCTTAGCCACGAAAACAATTCATTATGACCTCTCTCACTATTGACTAGCGGTTTGCACATTGTTTCTTGCGATGGCCGAAAACAGGAATGAAAACTGGTTCATGTCTGAAAGTGCTAGACATTTGTTCATTACATTGTTTTGTATCTGGTAGTGATTGTGGGTTTGTCTCAGTCGATCGATGACAAAAGGTTTGTCTTTATAAAGTAAATGACATCACCAAACTGAGTCCAGTTTACATAATGGTGAAATGTTTGGCCCTAAACAGGTCCAGTAGGTCTTCCCACTTGGCGTGATTTCACAAAGTGCAACGTAGTGATTTTTAAAGCGGAGTGACTAATCATTATCACTGGTTCACACAAAATAAAACTTCATATAGTATGATTTCACCTAATCTCATTCTGTCTCTATCGTACTTGAGACGGCAGAATATGTGAGACAAAGGAGTTCCACTAATTATATTTACAAATCGTTTGTTGATTTGAATATTGCGTTCTCGATCAGTACCTGATAACTCAATCAGATGAGGAACACTAACCGGTAAAACCTGTGACATAAATACTGAGGCATACTACTGCAGGGAGAAAAAGTGATTAAGCAGGGCGGTGCCAAATTCACGACATTTTGTACTATTTTAGCATTCAAAAAATCTCTGCATGGGGGCGAACCGGTCATATCAATTGTTAAAGATCACCCGTGCGTCAGTAATCAGTGGTCCACCTAAACTATATCCTAACTACCTACCACGTGTTGTGGAGACGAACCGACGATAACATTTTTTGGACCTACGAAGCCACTTGATGGCCAAATATGCATTGGCCTAAAGTTTCACTTACGTTTCTGTAGCTCATCCTGCCCTTCACCTGGTTGAGAAAACTATTCACGCCCATTTGAACCCAAACTTCCATTGGTAGCGGGTGATTATTTGAACCATACATTAAGAGAAGGCACTTGTCTCTTTACGCACCTGATATACGGATTTCCCCGTACACATCAGGGTTACCATTTTTATCCTATTTGGGTAAGCTCACGTCCCGCAATAGCTGAAATAAGCGTTTATCATTTACCCTGGTGGGCCACCGATAGAGCAACAGAAGTTGCTTGGCGGTGTACAAGGTGTATCGGGTACCCGGTATTAGAAGCACCTCTGACTCGAAGGGATGTCGGCCCCTTGGGGGCATTCCCCCTTTCTTTGGTCTCCTAAAAGTGCTTAGCTCTCACCTGTGGCTCCAAGAAGCTGTTTGGATGCAACACCGGCCACATCCCAGTAAACCGATCGACAGGAGGGAACACCAGGTTGAGGGAGCTCAACTTTCGATAAGTCGGTGTCTAACGTACGTGTTGGGCGGACGAAGTCGCTTTTACGACTCAACGGTCAAAACAATGACTCCGTACTCATCAGGGATGCATGGATCCCTGTTTAGCTAGGAACTGTCAATGGCGTATGAACTCGCCCCAGATGGCCACCGGCAACCATGAGCTACCTTCCTGTTACCTTGCAGTTACCACTTGGATGTGCAAAGGCTAGAGATGTCACCTCGACCCAAAGCCGGGTGACGCTGGGGACGTCTCCTGTATCTAACTCCCAAGAA